ATGACTACTCCAAAATTTTAAACCATCTCCTGCTCGTATTAAAATATCAACATCTACCGCTCTTAACGAATGCAACAGTTCCCTTGTACTTAAATTTGTGGCATTTTCAATACCACACAATTCGGCGGTGCGTACTGCTTGCTCCAGTGGTTGGTCGTTAATAGCAAACGGTACATTAGCGGTGCCACTTAAAGCTATTACTCCCTGAAATAAACCCTCCGCCTGAGGACTTAACATATGCATATGAGCCGATACACCACCCACACTTTGGCCAAATAAAGTTACCTTTTCCCGATCACCACCAAATGCCGCTATATTATTTTGTACCCATTTCATGGCTAATAGTTGATCTTTTAAGCCGAAATTACCGGGTATATTTGCATCGCCGGTGGATAGAAAACCTAATGCTCCTAATCGATAGGAAAATGTTACCAATATAACTTGCTCGGTATCCATAATATATTCAGGACCTGTTATGACAGGATTGGCAGTACCACTAAACCAACCGCCACCATGTATATAGATCATAACGGGTAATTTGTGGGTGCTGTGATGATGCTAAAATGTAGAAGATATGGAAATTTAGTACTTAAGCTCAACCACTAACAAGTCACCTATAATCTGGAATATAGTCTGGAGTATAGAGTGGACTATAGTCTGGAATATAGTCTGGACAATAGTCTGCACTATAGTATGGACAACAGTCCGCACTTTAGTCTGGACTATAGTCAGAACTATAGTCTGCAATATAGTCTGGACAATAGTCTGGACATTAGTCTGGACTATAATATGGAATTTAGTCTGGAATATTGTTTGGACAATTATCTGGACAAAAGTCTGCACTATAGTCTGGACTACAGTCTGGACTATTGTCTTGACTATAGTCTGCACAATAGTCTGCATATAGTCCAGACTATAGTTTGGACAATAGTCTGGAATATAGTTTGGACAATAGTCTGGACTATAATTTGCACTATAGCTTACACTAAAGTCTGGACTATAGTCTGCACTATAAGCTGGACTATAGTCTGGACTATTGTGTAGACTATTGTCTGCATTATAGTCTGGACTATTGCCTGTAGTATAGTCTGGACTATAGTCTTCACTGTAGTATGCACTATAGTCTTCACTGTAGTCTGGACTATAGTCTTCTTCTATAGTCTGGACTATAGTCTTCACTATAGTCTGGACTTCACTATAGTCTGGACTATAGTCTTCACTATAGTCTGGACTATAGTCTTTACTATAGTTTGTACTATAGTCTGGACTATAGTTTGTACTATAGACTGCACTATAGTCGAGACTATAATCTGGTCTGCACTATAGTCTGGACTATAGTCTGAACCATAGTATGGACTATAGTCTGGACTATAGTCTGGACTATTGTCTGCACTATAGTGTGGACTATTATCTCCACAATAGTCTGCACTATAGTCTGGACTATAGTCTGCAAGATAGTATGGACTATAGGCCCACTATAGTCTGCACTATAGTCTGGACTATAGTCTGCAAGATAGTATGGACTATAGGCCCACTATAGTCTGCACTATAGTCTGGACTATAGTCTGCAATATAGTATGGACTATAGGCCGCACTATAGTCTGCACTATAGTCTGGACTATAGTCTGCACTATAGTCTTCACTATAGACTGGACTATAGTCTGCACTATAGACTGGACTATAGTCTGCACAATAGACTGGACTATAGTCTGCACTATAGACTGGACTATAGTCTGGACTATAGTCTGCACTATAGACTGGACTATAGTCTGGACTATAGTCTGGACTATAGTCTGCACTATAGTCTGGACTATAGTCTGCACTATAGTCTGCACTATAGTCTGGACTATAGTCTGGACTATAGTCTGCACTATAGTCTGGACTATAGTCTGCACTATAGTCTGGACTATAGTCTGCACTATAGTCTGGACTATAGTCTGCACTATAGTCTGGATTATAGTCTGCACTATAGTCTGGACTATAGTCTGCACTATAATCTGCACTATAGTCTGCTCTATAGCCTGGACTATAGTCTGGACTGTAGTCTGGACTATAGTCTGCACTATAGTCTGATCTATAGTCTGCACTATAGTCTGCACTATAGTCTGGACTATAGTCTGCACTATAGACTGGGCTATAGTCTGCACTATAGTCTGGGCTATAGTCGTCACTATAGTCTGGGCTATAGTCGTCACTATAGTCTGGACTATAGTCTGCACTATAGTCTGGACTATAGTCTGCACTACAGTCTGGACTATAGTCTGCACTATAGTCTGGACTATAGTCTGGACTATAGTCTGGACTATAGTCTGCACTATAGTCTGCACCATAGTCTGGACTATAGTTTGGACTATTGTCTGGACTATAGTCTGGACTATTGCCGGACATAGTTTGCACTATATTCTGGACTATAGTTGAGACTATAATCTGGATATAGTCGAGAGTATAATCTAGGCTATGGTCTGAATTAGAGTCTGGACTTTAGTCTGAATCTGAACTTAAATCTGGAATATAGCTGAACTTAAATCTGAATTATAGTCAGGGATTTAGTCTGCACTAAGGCGTAGACTAATATTTGGACTAAGGTATTCTCAAAACTTTGGTCAAATGTTTAGATCGTAGTCTAGACTTGTTTATAGCCTGTAGTCTGGATGAAGCCGAACTATTTCCCAGTAATTTTATAGTTCTAAAGATTTTGTAAAAATTACCAAAATCAAAATTAATTTCATAAGTCTGGTGTCGGATATTTTTTTCATATTATGTTTTACTTACCAAAGGTCTATAAACATTCAAATACAAACAATCCTCACTACCCGATACCGGATATGTTGGCAGTAAATAATTCTTTTGTATACAATCCGGTTTAGCTTCAAAGGCATTCAAAGTATTTTCCCATTTTGGAAACTCCTTGGGACTCTATAAGGAAAAATTATTTATTTTTTAGTAAAATTTCAATATAAATTACTGAGTTTCCTATACTCACACTAAATCTCAATTCCCCCAATGGCGGCAAAGCATACGGTATACCCATAAAGGCCTCAAATAAAGGTGTATTATAACCACGCATTAAACGACCCCGCATACAGCCCGCTTTATCGGCACATACAGTCGAGGTGAAACGATCCTCTAGAAACTGGCTGACAACCGTATAGGCCAAAGGCATAATTAGCATAAATAAAAGTTTTAACGTCATATCTATAATTTTACGATAGTGAAGACGTTGTCGATTCTGGTTATAATCAAGAAAATCTGCAAAAAAAAAAAAAAACGAGAAATAAACATAAATAAGATTAAACAAAACTGAATGAATTTAATTTGAATTAAAATGTGCGATCAAATACAATTTATGCATAATGTGTGATAATCATTTGCATATTTAGACCACATTTTATTCTAATTTGCATGTAAATTACGATCTGTTAAGTTTCAAAGTTTATAGCTTTTTTTATTTTTCTATCTTCTGTATTATTTTGTTTTCATTAATAAATCTGTTTTGTGCGATGATAATGTCACATTAAAACGATCGTTTTACTCTATAAAAATGTTATTTTTTATTTTAGTTCGTAAAATTATTTATTCACACACTTAAGGAGAATAACAAAACTTGTATTTCTCTTCGAAGGGGGGAATCCCCTAGAGTGTATGAAAATTGCTTACGATCTTTTTAGAATTTTAAGCGACTCAGTGTCTAGCATAAATAATATATAGTGTATAAATAAGATATTTTTAACTTGTAAACAAGTTTTATGTGTAAATTTGTATTTATTTTTAGATTTAAAGGAAATATACAGTTATATGTATATCTAAGATTATAGATCAGTCTATACTCTATATAATCAGGACTATTGAATGATGTACATATATTTAATGATTATGCAGTTAAGATTATAGATAACGCCATTTAATGGTCAGTTATAAATAGTATTTAATAATCATATATATATATATACTCATCTCTATAATCTATAGTCAATACTATAGACTGATCTATAAACCGGACTATAGACTATTCTATACTCAAGATTATAGAGTGATCTAAAGTCAAGACTTTAAACTGTTCTATAGTCAAGACTATAGATCTATATTCATGACTATAGACTGATCTATAATCAAGATTGATCTATAATCAAGAGTATTGAAGATCTATAGTCTGATCTGACTATTGGCTGATCTATAGTGAAGACTATAGACTGATCTATAGTCAGGACTATAGACTGATCTATAGTCAAGACTCTAGACTGATTTATAGCCAAGACTGTAGACTGATCTATAGTCAAGACTATAGACTGATCTATAGTCAAGACTATAGACTGATCTATAGTCAAGACTGTAGACTAATATATAGTCAAGACTATAGACTGATCTATAGTCAAGACTGTAGACTAATCTATAGTCAAGACTATAGACTGATCTATAGTCAAGACTGTAGACTAATCTATAGTCAAGACTATAGACTGATCTATAATCAAGGTTATAGACTGATCTAAGGTTAAGGCTATAGACTGATCTATAATCAAGACTATTGACAGATCTATAGTCAAGACTATAGACTGATCTATAGTCAAGACTATAGACTGATCTATAGTCAAGGTTATAGACTTAGCTAAGGTCAAGACTACAGACTGATCTATAGTCAAAACTATAGATTGATCTATAGTCAAGACTATAGACTGATCAAGGTTATAGACTGATCTAAGGTCAAGACTATAGACTGATCTATAGTCAAGACTATTTACAGATCTATAGTTAAGATTATAGACTGATCTATAGTCAAGGTTATAGACTGATCTAAGGTCAAGACTATAGACTGATCTATAGTCAAGACTATAGACTGATCTATAGTCAAGATTATAGATTGATCTATAGTCAAGACTATTGACTGATCTATAGTTAAGACTACGGGCTGATATATAGTCAAGACTATAGATTGATCTATAGTCAAGACTAAAGACTGGTCTAAAGTAAAGACAATAGACTTATCTATATTAAGACTATTGACTGATCTATAGTCAAGACTATTGACAGATTTATATTCAAGACTATAGATAGATCTATAGTCAAGACTATTGATTTATCTATAGTTAAGACTATAGACTGATCTATAGTCAAGACTGTAGACTAATCTATAATCAAGACTATAGGCTGATCTACTTATAGTCAAGGTTATAGACTGATCTAAGGTCAAGACTATAGATTAATCTATAGTCAAGACTGTAGAGTGATCTATATGGAATACTATAGACTGGTCTATAGTCAAGACTGTAGAGTGATATATAGTGAATACTGTAGACTGATCTGTAGTTAAGACTATATACTATTCTATAGTCAAGACTATAGACTGATATATACTCATGACTCGTAACAGATCTATTGTCAAGACTCTTAACTGATCTGTTGTCAAAACTCTAGGCTTATCTATAGTCAAGGCTATGGACTAGTCAATTCTTAAGACTATAGGCTGTTCTACTGTCTTATAGCAAAACTACGAACTGATCCAAACGGATCGAATAAATTAAAATTATTAAAAATGTTTGTTGCGGACTTTGTTTGAATGAAGTGTCTTTGGGTGCTTGATATATGTAGAGATATGTATATTTTTTTCCAAAGTCTTGAGAATCGAGACTGTAGTCAACCGCCAAACACCAATAGAGATATAATAAATAATTTAAAAGATTGTATCTGAAGTAAAACAATTATTTTGATTAAAACTGACAGGAAATTATAGATTAGGTTTTTTATCTATAACATTAAATTTTGGTTTTATTCCAATGAATTATCAATGAATTTACTTTTCTTGCTTTAATTTAAATATTCGCAGTTTTTTAGATGAAAACACCAAATAGATCCATTAAAAACTACTATGACGTCAACATTTATTAAAGAAAACGACAAAATATTACCATTTTTATACATATTTGACTGTTTGTTTTGTTAAATTATGCAAAATTATTTGTGGGAATCTATTGTCGCTAAATACATATTTAACACCAGCAAACTTTGTCAACATCCACGATATTGATGATGACGATCATCGCTATTTTTGGAATTAATTTCCAAGAGTGTTTATTTATTTATTTAATCGTTTCATTTAGTTTTATGGGGCTTTTTAAATGATTACTGTTGTATGTGCTACTGTCGTTAAGGTGTTCATATTGATTGTAGTTTTTAGATTAATTTTGAGTGGCAGACATTTAGCCTCCAGCTATATTTGGTGTTGTGGTAGGTCTGAAATCATTTTTTTTTTCTTTTTCGGTTTTTTGGTAACCAAATATGTACTGGCGACATTTATTAGTCATATTGTTGTGCTATTATTGTAGCTGTTAGTTACTAATTTTGGTTGTTATTGCGTGTGAGATAAAAGAAAGTTTAACAATTTAATAAAATAAGCCATGACCGATTATGTCTGACTATTTATGGTTTAAGAGAAAATAATAGGTTAAATTCTATTCTATTCTACTAGGCCAGACATTAATCATTAAGATGTCTGCTTAAAATAACGTTTCTATTTATAATTTTTTATTTAAAAATAGAAGTGTCACTTTTGAATAATAATATTGTGTTTATAAGTATTTTAAAATTTATAATATAGATTCTTTTACTCAATACTATAGACTGTTCTATTATCAAGACTATGGACTGTTCTATAGTCAATACTATAGACTGTTCTAAAGTCAAGGCTATAGACTGTTCTATAGTCAAGACCATAGACTGTTCTATAGTCAAGACAATAGACCGTTCTATAGTCAAGACTATAGACTGTTCTATAGCCAAGACTATAGATTGTTCTATAGTCAAGACTACAGACTGTTCTATAGTCAAGACTATAGACTGTTCAATAGTCAAGACTATGGACTGTTCCGTAGTCTAGACTATAGACTGTTCCATAGTCAAGACTATAGATTTTTCTATAGTCAAAACTATAGACTCTTCTATAGTCAAGACTGTTCTATAGTCAAGACCATAGACTGTTCTATAGTCAAGACTATAGACTGTTCTATAGTCAAGACTATAGACTGTTCTATAGTCAAGACTATAGACTGTTCTATAGTCAAGACTATAGACTGTTCTATAGTCAAGACTATAGACTGTTCTATAGTCAAGACTATAGACTGTTCTATAGTCAAGACTATAGGCTGTTCTATAGTCAAGACTATAGACTGTTCCATTGTCAAGACTATAGACTGTTCCATAGTCAAGACTATAGATTTTTCTATAGTCAAGACTATAGGTTTTTCTATAGTCAAGACTATAGACTGTTCTATAGTCAAGACTATAGACTGTTCCATAGTCAAGACTATAGACTGTTCCATAGTCAAGACTATAGATTTTTCTATAGTCAAGACTATAGACTCTTCTATAGTCAAGACTGTTCAATAGTCAAGACCATAGACTGTTCTATAGTCAAGACTATAGACTGTTCTATAGTCAAGACTATAGACTGTTCTATAGTCAAGACTATAGACTGTTCTATAGTCAAGACTATATACTGTTCTATAGTCAAGACTATATACTGTTCTATAGTCAAGACTATAGGCTGTTCTATAGTCAAGACTATAGACTGTTCCATTGTCAAGACTATAGACTGTTCCATAGTCAAGACTATAGATTTTTTCTATAGTCAAGACTATAGATTTTTCTATAGTCAAGACTATAGATTTTTCTATAGTCAAGACTATAGACTGTTCTATAGTCAAGACTATAGATTTTTCTATAGTCAAGACTATAGACTGTTCCATAGTCAAGACTATAGACTGTTCTATAGTCAAGACTATAGACTGTTCTATAGTCAAGACTATAGACTGTTCTATAGTCAGACTATAGACTGTTCTATAGTCAAGACTATAGACTGTTCTATAGTCAAGACTATAGACTGTTCTATAGTCAAGACTATAGACTGTTCTATAGTCAAGACTATAGACTGTTCTATAGTCAAGACTATAGACTGTTCTATAGACAAGACTATAGACTGTTCTATATTCAAGACTATAGACTGTTCTATACTCAAGACTATAGACCTGTTCTATAGTCAGAATATAGACTGTTCTATAGTCAAGACTATAGACTGTTCTATAGTCAAGACAATAGACTGTTCTATAGTCAAGACTATAGACTGTTCTATAGTCAAGACTATAGACTGTTCTATAGTCAAGACTATAGACTCTTCTATAGTCAAGACTGTTCTATAGTCAAGACCATAGGACTGTTCTATAGTCAAGACTATAGACTGTTCTATAGTCAAGACTATAGACTGTTCTATAGTCAAGACTATAGACTGTTCTATAGTCAAGACTATAGACTGTTCTATAGTCAAGACTATAGACTGTTCTATAGTCAAGACTATAGACTGTTCTATAGTCAAGACTATAGACTGTTCTATAGTCAAGACTATAGGCTGTTCTATAGTCAAGAATATAGACTGTTCTATAGTCAAGACTATAGACTGTTCTACAGTCAAGACTATAGACTGTTCCATTGTTAAGACTATAGACTGTTCCATAGTCAAGACTATAGATTTTTCTATAGTCAAGACTATAGACTGTTCTATAGTCAAGACTATAGACTGTTCTATAGTCAAGACCATAGACTGTTCTATAGTCAAGACCATAGACTATTCTATAGTCAAGACTATAGACTGTTCTATACTCAAGACTATAGACTGTTCTATAGTCAAGACTATAGACTGTTCTATACTCAAGACTATAGACTGTTCTATAGTCAAGACTATAAACTGTTCTATAGTCAAGACTATAGACTGTTCTATAGTCAAGACTATAAGCTGTTCTATAGTCAAGACTATAGACTGTTCTATAGTCAAGACCATAGACTGTTCTATAGTCAAGACTATACACTGTTCTATAGTCAAGACTATAGACTATTCTATAGTCAAGACTATAGACTATTCTATAGTCAAGACTATAGAATGTTCTATAGTTAAGACTGTAGACTGTTCTATAATCAAGACTACAGACTGTTCTATAGTCAAGACTATAAACTGTTCTATAGTCAAGACTATAGACTGTTCTATAGTCAAGACTATAGACTGTTCTATACTCAAGACTATAGACTGTTCTATAGTCAAGACTATAGACTATTCTATAGTCAAGACCATAGACTGTTCTATTATCAAGACTATACACTGTTCTATAGTCAAGACTATAGACTATTCTATAGTCAAGACTATAGACTATGCTATAGTCAAGACTATAGAATGTTCTACAGTTAAGACTGTAGACTGTTCTATAATCAAGACTATAGACTGTTCTATAGTCAAGAGTATAGTCTGTTCCATAGTCAAGACTATAGACTGTTTTATAGTCAAGAGTATAGACTGTTCCATAGCCAAGACTATAGACTATTCTATAATCAAGACTATAAACTATTTGATAGTCTATTTTATAGTCAAGGCAAGAGACTAATTTATAGTAAAGACAGTAGACTATTATATGGTTAGGACTGCTTTATAATTTTTATTATGTGTCAGTTTATAGACTCGATTATAGACCAGCATAGACTATAGACCAGTTTATAGCCTTGACTATAGACCATTCTGTGAAATTTACTATAGATCAGTCAATATAGTTGACTATAGATGAGTTTAAAGTCTTGACTGTAGACCAGTCTAAAATTTTAAAATTCATTTATGTGTGGAAAATAAAAAAATTACAAAAAATCTATAAATTATAATTTTTTTTTTTTTTAATTAATTATTTAATATCCTTCATATTTACCGTTATTTTGACAATGAATCCAGGATAAAAATGATCATTTGTATTTTTGAAACTAGATAAACAATTTATATTGTTAATTTAATCAAAATAATATAAAGATTTATTGATATATAAATTACACTCCTTTAGCAATATAAGCAATTTAATTTATTTGATAATAATGTCATATAAATTGTCATTAAAACTATTGACGTAAATCTTTAATTAGTTCATAAGTCTATAATTGTGATTTTAATTATTTGTGTGTATTTTCAATTAATTTTATATTTATATTTTTATTTTTAATTTAAAAACAATATATTTTTTTTAAATATAATAATACACTTTTTCATAAAATTTCCTTTATTTTTTTTTTTGAAATTTTGTCAAACTTTCAAATATTATCGTAAATTTTTGTTTAATTTCTATTTTATAACAATTTTTTTCGCGCAAAAAATCACGTCTTGAACATTGATCTTAGACCAACAGAAACCGTCTGAAGAATTTTAACACTTTACGTTACGGTTATATTCACAAAACAAATAATAAACAGCTCGCAACTCGAAAAAAAAAAAAAAAACTATATCAAACTCATTGATCGATTAACGCTTTACTCTACGTATCTGTGTGCCATCGACAAATACTTTGAAATATAGGAAAAAAATAACAAGAACAACATAAAATACGCGCTCGTGTTAATCGTCGTTTTTCATTTGTAAAACATACCTACAACTAAACACCTGTTGGAGCATACAAAACGGGCATTTCTTTAAAAGTTCGTGATTTGATCAACCAATAACAGCGCAGTATTTTTATACGAGTTTTATGCGTAGACATCGTGTTTATAGAGAGAGGAACTTTGATCGTATACAGCAATTATAATGACAATAAGATCAGTTTGATGTCATAATTTGAAGTGTAAAGAACTGTTTGTATACATAACTGAGAAAGAAGTTGATCCTAGATAGATAGATAGATAGATAGATAGATAGATAGATAGATAGATAGATAGATAGATAGATAGATAGATAGATAGATAGATAGATAGATAGATATAGATAGATAGATAGATAGATAGATAGATAGATAGATAGATAGATAGATAGATAGATAGATAGATAGATAGATATAGATAGATAGATAGATAGATAGATAGATAGATAGATAGATAGATAGATAGATAGATAGATAGATAGATAGATAGATAGATAGAAGATAGATAGATAGATAGATAGATAGATAGTAGATAGATAGATAGATAGATAGATAGATAGATAGATAGGATAGATAGATAGATAGATAGATAGATAGATAGATAGATAGATAGATAGATAGATAGATAGATAGATAGATAGATAGATAGATAGATAGATAGATAGATAGATAGATAGATAGATAGATAGATAGATAGATAGATAGATAGATAGATAGATAGATAGATAGATAGATAGATAGATAGATAGATAGATAGATAGATAGATAGATAGATAGATAGATAGATAGATAGATAGATAGATAGATAGATAGATAGATAGATAGATAGATAGATAGATAGATAGATAGATAGATAGATAGATAGATAGATAGATAGATAGATAGATAGATAGATAGATAGATAGATAGATAGATAGATAGATAGATAGATAGATAGATAGATAGATAGATAGATAGATAGAGATAGATAGATAGATAGATAGATAGATAGATAGATAGATAGATAGATAGATAGATAGATAGATAAGATAGATAGATAGATAGATAGATAGATAGATAGATAGATAGATAGATAGATAGATAGATAGATAGATAGATAGATAGATAGATAGATAGATAGATAGATAGATAGATAGATAGATAGATAGATAGATAGATAGATAGATAGATAGATAGATAGATAGATAGATAGATAGATAGATAGATAGATAGATAGATAGATAGATAGATAGATAGATAGATAGATAGATAGATAGATAGATAGATAGATAGATGATAGATAGATGATAGATAGATAGATAGATAGATAGATAGATAGATAGATAGATAGATAGATAGATAGATAGATAGATAGATAGATAGATAGATAGATAGATAGATAGATAGATAGATAGATAGATAGATAGATAGATAGATAGATAGATAGATAGATAGATAGATAGATAGATAGATAGATAGATAGATAGATAGGTAGATAGATAGATAGATAGATAGATAGATAGATAGATAGATAGATAGATAGATAGATAGATAGATAGATAGATAGATAGATAGATAGATAGATAGATAGATAGATAGATAGATAGATAGATAGATAGATAGATAGATAGTAGATAGATAGATAGATAGATAGATAGATAGATAGATAGATAGATAGATAGATAGATAGATAGATAGATAGATAGATAGATAGATAGATAGATAGATAGATAGATAGATAGATAGATAGATAGATAGATAGATAGATAGATAGATAGATAGATAGATAGATAGATAGATAGATAGATAGACTAGATAGATAGATAGATAGATAGATAGATAGATAGATAGATAGATAGATAGATAGATAGATAGATAGATAGATAGATAGATAGATAGATAGATAGATAGATAGATAGATAGATAGATAGATAGATAGAAGATAGATAGATAGATAGATAGATAGATAGATAGATAGATAGATAGATAGATAGATAGATAGATAGATAGATAGATAGATAGATAGATAGATAGATAGATAGATAGATAGATAGATAGATAGATAGATAGATAGATAGATAGATAGATAGATAGATAGATAGATAGATAGATAGATAGATAGATAGATAGATAGATAGATAGATAGATAGATAGATAGATAGATAGATAGATAGATAGATAGATAGATAGATAGATAGATAGATAGATAGATAGATAGATAGATAGATAGATAGATAGATAGATAGATAGATAATTAGCTGATTAATAATCCTTGCGCCCTTCGAATGTTGGGTCGCGCAATTCTAAAACCGCTGCTTATTAAATTTATACAATTTTAATTTATTTCTCATATTATTCACTTTTATGTATGTTGACATAATATTAAACATTGTATAAATATTAAATATTGATAATATATTTGATATAATACTATTAAATAATATTAATAACACAGAATAATTTACATATTTAAATTAATTAAAACTACATTTTGTCAGACACGATTTATGGACACGTTTTTAATACTATGGCATTTACACGGATAAATATCTATTTGAGTCACTAGACATTTTTTATTCAAAAGTCGAATTAAATATACCCTACTAATATGGAAGCAGCCTTTGAATACTTATCTTTAGTCTTCTGAGTTCCGTAATAAACCATATTCATACTAAAGTACTTTTATAGAAGCTTATATATAACTATATAATCTACATATATTATTAAATTAGGGACCATACTCCATATTAGGCCTAAATTCTGGCATTCTATACTGATTGAAATCTTAGGATTATTTTATAATGATATCGATTTCGTTTTCGAAAGTCTATCTGGACCACAAGTCAGGTGAATATTAAACTTTTCGCCCATTGTGAAATCCATTCTCTTAAAACATGTTACTCTGTTTGTGGACAACCTTTCAGTACAACATTTCCTCAGATTGTAGGGTGTGTTTATAAAAATATTTTGCTCCCACAACCACAAGTAGTTTCAAGACAAAATATTTCCCACTATACACGTCCATATATATATAAATAGTTATAAAAAGCGCATTTACAGGTTATTGGTTTGTTGTTATTGTTCACATCTAACTATTAGATTTGTTTACATTTCTTTCTATTGTTTATATTTACATATATGTGTATGTATGTATATACGAATAAGTGTGTGTACCACGTGCCAAAGCAACGGTTGTTGTTTTAATTTCTATTGTATTGATCTAACGATAGATCGATTAACAAGTTGTGATCGTAATATGTAGTCGTATCTATTAATTATCTTGTCAAGTGTTTGAATTTTGTTATAATTGTTTTTCTGTCTAGCACGTGCAGAGGTCAGTCAGTCGGTCAGTGGGACTAGAGACTAGTTTTAGATAAAAGGAAAACAACACGGTGGTGGAAAATTTTTAAAATTTTATTCGATAATTTCATAAATATACTTTGAATAAAGTGGCGTACGTGAGAAATTGTAAAGGTCGTTGGAGTGTTTTCTTGTTTTTAATCTTTCTAATTTTTTTTTTTGTTTTTGATATTTATTTATTTATTTCAAATTGAAGTATAAATGGAGATATTTTTTTATGGGAATTTATTTTCAAATTATTGAACTTGATATTCCATTTACTGGTAACTTGTTGCGCGCCAACGTGGGTATTATTAACATACATAGATTGTATGTATATATACATACATATGTATGTATATGTACATGTGTATTAATTAAGTTTGAAATTAAGTCTATTAAACTAAAAAGGTCTCATTTGACTCTAATCTCCATCACTTTCAGAACGTTACTGTTACACCCAGAAGATACTAGTACCGCTATGAAAATGATATAAATAAGTTTCTACTAAACTGTATGAGAATCTGTCCATAATAGAATCCATATAATTTCATATTCCGAAATTAATTTTGTCACCTATAAACGACCAGATGACCGATCTCTACTCAGAATTTTAGAAAGATCTTCTCTATAGTTTGTTCAATAATAAAAGTCAATTTGAAATATTTCGCAACCCAGAGACCAAAGTATACTTTTCTAGGAGACTGAGTGGCGAGAATAAAACCGAATCTAATCTCAGAATTACTCCATCATGGTTTTCCAGATATCGTGTCATCAACCCGTTTTTGAGACGTTCTAACAACGCTAAAACATCTTTATTTATAAAATTTGTTATGTCTTCTAGAAGTCTAATCTGTAGACTTTAAAATAAAAGTTAAACCTTTGTTATATCTTCTTACTACTTCGAGATATCTTAATACAAACAAATAAGTCTTCTCGGCCATTTAAAACGTTTTAAATCTGACCATATTGAGTCAAACTTTAGAACTTAATATCTCAGAAACCTGATGCGAAAAGAATTTCTAGGGGCAGATGCTGATTTCCATTAGAAAAGTAAACGAAATTCT